AAGGGTATGCACAGTTCGAAATGATATTCTTGAAGTTTGAATCTGACCACGTCACTCCTCAAGAAGATTTGATGGCTCCCAAGGACCTTTAAGTTAAAATTCAAACCTCCCTTTAGCCCTTCACAAGCTTCCCTTTTCAGACATATTATACATTATCTCTTTCATACACTACAGTTCAGATCTACTGGCAAATATCCCCTCTTCTATCCAGATGTGTTTGAAAACGCTGCCCCCCTGTGCCTAGAACACTCTCCCATCTCACCTGTACCTCTTCAAAGGTGTTCACCTTTACATTCAAAGGCGAACTCTTATGTGATACCTTTACCAATCCCCCCCCCGCCCACTAGTGCCCCCCTCCAGCTATCTTGCAGACCCTCTATTAAGAGGCAATTCAAGTCAGTCAAGTCAATTGGCATCTATTCAGCACCTGCTATGGGCCAGCCACTGTGGAAAACTGGGGATACAAAGTCAGGCAAAAAGTCCTTGTTCCCCAAGAGCTCATAGCCTAATGGAGAATATAACACGCAAACCAACAAGACATATTATACCAGATAAACTGGATGAAATCTCAGAGGGAAGGCACCAAGATTAAGGAGGGCTAGGGAAAGCTTTTTGCGGAAGGTGGGATTTTAGCTAAACCTTTGAAAGAGGTCAGGGAAATGGAGGGAGAGTTCCAGGCATAGGAGACAGCCAGTGAAAATGTCCAGAGCTGGGAGGATGGAGAGTTCAAGGAACCGAAAAGAGACCAGGGTTACTAGGAGTGGTGGGGGTGGAATGAAGTGTAAGAAGAGAGGAGAGGAAAGAAAAAGCCAGATCATAAGGGGCTTTCAAAGCCAAACAGAAGATTTTTCACTTGATCTTGGGGTCATAGGGAGCCACTGGAGTTTATTGAGGAGGAATATAACACGCTCACTTTGGCAGCTGAGTAGAAGATGTACTGGAGTAGGGAGAGACTGGAGGCAGGGAGACCAGTCTATAGTCCAGGGATGAGGAGACGAGGAGCGGTGCCACTGATGGCAGTGTTAGAGGAGAGAAGGGAGGAATCTATGAGAGAAATTATGAAGGCAGCATGGTGTAGTAGATAAAGTTGATTGTGGAGGCAGAAAGACTTGGGTTCAAGTCTTACCTTTGTTACATATTGTCTATGTCACACTGGGCAAGTCACAATTTGTCATTTCCCCTGGCAACTCTCAATTTCAGAATAGGTGCCCTTTAATGGAGGGAGTTTCCTCATTGGGAGTAGACTGTTCCTCATGGGAGCAGACTGTTCCAAATTTTTTGGTTTTTGAGGCAATTTGGGTTAAGTGATTTGCAAGTAAGTGTCTGAGGCTGGATTTGAAGTCAAGTCTTCCTGACTTCAGGGCCAGAGCTCTATCCACTGTGCCACCTAGTTGCCCCCTCTATTTATCTTTGTATGCCCAACACCCAGTACAGTTCTTGGCATTTTGTTTGCATCTGTTGATATGACTGAATACTGTATGTCTGGTTCAGGTGGTGGACAGGACCACCAGAGTGGCAGCAGCTTCTGAGGCATGATTGTAATGGCACCGGTCCTAACACTACCAATTGCAGTTGGCAGGTCACGCAGATGTCCCCCAAGCCACTGAATGTCCTCATATGTGATGTCAGTGTTTAAATGTTCAGGGCTTGTATTGTTCAATACAGTGCCTTGTATTGTTGTATTGCATTATTCAATACAATACCCCCTGGGCTTGCGGTAGTAATTTCAGAAGTCTACCCAGAAATCCTATTCAATATCAACTCAATCTGAACTTCATCATCTCAGGCTCATCCTTCCCATGAGCTGACCACAGACTCTGGGGCATGTGTCAAGGACAGTCCCAGCACGAGAATACAGGACCATATAAACCTGGAAGGAACCTTGGAGGTCATCTCATCCACCTCTCTTCCCTTCCTCATTTTACAGGAAGCTAAGACTCAAGGAGTTTAAGTGACCTACCCAAGGCCACACAGGTAGTGTCAGAGGTGGGATGAATCACCCAGGTCCTCCAACTCCAGAGTCCATGTACTTCCTACCAAAAGAAAGGGAAATCAAGACACCACAACAGTTGTTCCATTCCAACCCCTTACCCAGCTGCCTTTCAAGAAGTCAGCCCACCAGTGGATCACACAAAACACAGAATGGGAGGGAAGAAAGTGCCCAGGTCACTCAAAACAACCATTGTTCCATTCCCCATGGAGGGCTTCCCTGACATCTGCCCCTCTCTCATTAATGACGATGATGATAGCTGACATTTGATTCATTCAATCAATAAACACGTATTAAGTGCCTACTACGTGACAGGGGAAGCAATGGGGATACAAAAAGAGGTGATATTTAATAATAATAGCTAACATTTATGTAATAGTGTTTTGAGACTTGCAAATTACTTTCATAATTATTATCTCATTCTATCTTCACAACAATCCTAAGAGGTAGGTGTTATTTTTTTAAATATTTTACAAATGAGGTATCTGAAGCAGACAGAAGCCTTGCCCATGGTCACACAGCTAGTCTCTGAGGACAGATTTCAATGCCCAGCACTCTATCCATAGCTCCACCAAACAGCTTCACATCAGCACATCAGGATGTCACATATTGTCTCGCAAAAGCCCTGCTGGATAGGTACTACAGGTAATATTAACTGGAAGGGTTAACCCATGTTTGAAACAGCTGTGGTTTATTCCAGGTTTTCTTTCCTTTCGTATTTGCCTAAATTATTCCCATCTTAGAGGCCCCAAAAGGATAGGAAGTGTGTGTCTTGCACAGCCTTGGGAGATTAACATAAATGGAGTTGACAAATTAAACGGAGTTGCCAAAAAGCTGGTGTGGTGTGCAATGTTGTGCTGCACAGGGCCATTTAAAACAAAGACAGTTGTCTACTTTACGGGAAACTCTCTAGAGGAGGCTTGGAAAGGGATTCCGGGAAAGCTTGCCTCATGTTCCACGCTGGCAATGACTTCAGAGCTGATGGGCCTGATCTTGGCGATTCCGGACTCCCACCTATTACACCCACCTGTGCAAACCGTTAGTCAAGTATCAAAAGCTCACCCTACTGTTCCCTTTCCTCTCTTAGTGATTCTGACATTGGCAAAGGCTGCTCCATCTCCCCTTCTTCTCCCCACCCCCAAACCAGGGCTCACCACTACAATTACCCTCACAGCAAAAATAAAGCAGGGAGCTCAGACTTTGATAAGATCAGCTCCTGAGGGTGGGGAATAGAGAGATTTCACATCTTTGTAAGAGTGGCTGCTCTCAGCCTTTCTGGCAGGTTAATGTGATAATGGCATCTTTATTTTAGAAACCATTCAGTAAGAGTAATCCATAAATAGAATGTGCAGCTCTTTGGGTCACACAAAATTCTGAACGAAACGAGAATCTAAACGAGATGAAGGTTGGACTATTTTGACAAAGTTATGAAATAATTTATAGTCATCATGAGATGGGGGAGGGAGGGGTCCCAAAATTCTTAGTACAAGTCTAAGCTTAAAGCTGTATTTTCAACCCCAGACTACGTAAGATTGGGCCTGGGAAGAGAAAAGGAGTCTGGGAACCACTGGGAATCTTGGGGAACCCAAGCCAGTTTGTTCTTAGATGGGCAGGGATTGGAAGCCATTGGTACCCAGACAGAGAGTCCCAAGCTGTGGGGTTTGTAAAGGTTATGAAGGAAATCTTTGGACATGGACCTAGGTGTGCCCTCTGGTGGTGGACAAGGAGATTGTTCAGTAGGGACAATAACCCTACCTACTCTAGGGCCAGACGTTTTCAAGAAGAGTAACATTCTGGACCTTATACAAACAAGTTCCAAAGCATGTTCCTGGTTTTGTCCCCCATCTACATACGCCAGAAGGTATCTAAGCGGCACAGTGGATAGGATGTTGGGCTTGGAAGCCAGGAAGAGGCCTGGGTTTAAATGCAGCCTCAGATACTAGCTATGTGACCCTGGGCAAGTCACTTAACCTCTCTGCCTGCCTCAGTTTCCTCAGCTGCAAAAGGAATTATAATAGCACTTACCCTGGAGGGAGAGAGAGAATCTGGAACTTTAAAAAATTGTAATGAATGTTAAAAATAAATTAAAATTTTAAAAATAACAATATCTCCCAGGGATCAAATTAGATATCTGTAAAAAACAGTACCTGTCACATAGTAGGTGCTATATAAATGCTAGCTACTATTACTATTTAATTGATTATATTTTATTATATATAGTTATAGAATTTAATTAATTATTATTAACTAAGAAAACCTGAGCTGAATGTTCCTTCCCTACTTTGGATGAGGTAGTACAGCCACTTATAAAGCAGCCCCACCTGCTTTTTCACCTCTGGGTTACAGGAGCTTGTTAGGCTAGCCTCTATGCCCATGCCCATGGCTTGATGTTATTTCTACTCTTCTATGAGGCCTGAATCCTTGGAGATACTTCCTAATGACTTGGAAGGTTTCCCCAGCCAGGGGGTCATTCAGCCCTTGGAGGAGAGATCAAGTGTAGGACTTAACATATTCTTCTAGGCCAGGGGTTGTTAGCCTTTTGGGTGTCGTGGTCCCTTTGTCAATCTGGTGGAGCCCCACTTCTCAAAATAACATTTATTGCCTTCATATTTGAAAGAAGTACTAAGTTTCAGTTAAAGGTTAGTGAACATAAAGATGTTAAGTTCTTCCAACCCAAATTTATGAAGCCCCTGAAATCTAAGGATCTGAACTCCAGGTTAAAAACCTGTGCTCTAGGGTCCAAACTCTGGGAAAGTCAAAGAAATGTGTAAATGTACTTCCTTCCATCCTTTCTTCCTGTTTGGGGGCCCCGACAGAGAAAAGATAATACAATTTTACCAAAAGGGGAAACTGAGGCATAGAGACAATTAGGAGCCCACTAAAAGTCACAGCTTCCAATGACTAGTTTGGGAGATTCAAAAGATAAGTGAGGGAATCTATAAAAGGAAATTGGACGGGTGGGGGAAGTCTCCAGAAAACATACTATGACAAAAAAAAGCCACATCATAAATAATTTCAGACATGTCAGGTTTATTTACCGGGTGATTTTTCTGGTTTTAAGCCATCCGTGGGTGCTAGGTTGCATTTTGTATCTCTTTGGGGCTTATTATCGCCTTTGGACTGGTCAGGAAAACCTGAGGGTCCTTCCGGATGTAAGAGTTTTGAGATGCGCTCAAGGTCGTCCAAGCTCATCCGTTGGAAACTCTTCCTGTTCTCTTCTTTTAGCTAGCTAAGCTCTTTCTCTACATCTTGTGGGCTAAAATGTTTGGCCAGAATCTGGGTAAGCTGAGGCCACAGGGACTGGGACTGAGACGGAGACTGAGACTGAGACTGGGAAGGCCTCTCGGGGGATGCCTTCTCCAAGGGACGGAGGATCACGTTAAGTGTAGAATTGGGTCCAATACAGTAGTCGGAGAGGCGCTTGTTGTCAGCCAGGACCTGGCCTCTGAAGAGCAGCCGCTGCTGTTTCTCGGGGACGTGGAGCTGTTTCGGCACTAGTTGCTTTAACATAAATACTTTCTCATTCTCTGAGACTTGGAGTAAGCACCTCCAGCCTAAGAGAAGTTTGACGGTTAGCCACATTGTGGTTTAGGGAAGCAGTCACCACTTGCTTAGATGGAGTCAGTTGACATCATACTCTGGAGCAAGGTAAGCCAACAGCCCCAGGCCCTGACAGTCAAAAATGAAAAACAAGCCCAGAGCAACTGAAAGAGGCTGGGCCCACGGCAGAGGAGCTGCTATTGGCTGACCTGCTTTGATGTCACAATCCCCCAGAGGTCTCAGTGTTCCAGGGATGGACATTCAGAGGCCACTCAACAGGGTGATGGTGGTGAGACTGGGGAGGAGTAAACTGCAGTATCTCTCACATCCATCCACTTGAGGCTTCCCACACTCGCAGAAACCACCATAGTTCAGACCCCCATCTCTTCTCTCCTGGTTTATTTTAATAGCCTCTGAAATGGTTTCACTGTATCTGGCTTCCGGCTTTTCTAATGATTCTTTTACACGAATGCCGATAATGTACTGCTCTTTCCTCAAACCCTCAGTAGCTCTTCATTGCCTAGGGAATAGCGCATGGATTCTGATTCTTGGCATTCAAGACCTCTTCACAATTTGACTCCAGTGTTATCTTTTTCAGCCTTATTCCCAACGATTCCCCCTTCGTGTACATTTTATTCTAACCAAATGCTCCATTTTCTGTGACTTTTGCTCCTAAATTCCCCCATGTCTTACACGGCCCTTTCCTCCCCGTCTGACCGATCTTCACCTATAAAATTCCTCTCTTCTTTCAAGACCCAACTCCAGAGTCCTTCCTGCCTTACCACCACCACCCCACCCATTCCCTAGGTTGTAAGCTCTTCCAGAGCAAGATCCATGCCATATGCTTGTATTCCTAAGACCTAGTATAGAACTTTTTTAGATCCACAAGACACCCCTCCTACCCACTAGCCTAATATTCTTCATCAAGATCAAGAGCTGGGAAATCCCACCTTACCTGGCACCTATTCACCCCACCTTACTAAGTGGAAGTGCCAAAATCTCTCTCTCCCTCTCCCTCTCCCTGTCCCTCTTCCTCTCCTTCTCCCTCTCCCTCTCCCTCTCTGATGGGGTATGGTTAATTTGGATTTGACCAATTAGAATTAGCTCTTGAACTGCCATCCTTCTGCTGAAAGCATTAACTTTCTATATTTCATGCTGTCCTCGTTATATGATCTTGACATAATGGAGTCACTTCCCCATGGGAAGAGACAGAGAGTGCATGCTTACCTGTATATATGGCATTTTATCCATGATCTAGAATGAAGGAATGAGCAATGAAACATCTCCTGCATGCCTATCTGCTTGCAGCTTCCCCTAGACACAGGCAGCTCCAAAACAATACATAGCCCCTCCAAATCCCTGGAAGACACCATTGGTTTGTTTAGTTTTGTATAGCTGCTTTTCCTCTAAGTGGTCAAAGGAGCATAGAAAACATATGCTTATTGATAGGTTTTGATTTCCCTTCCCAGCAGGCTGTGGGGATTAAAATTATCCAGCCTACAATAAAAGAGGCTACAGCAGAGCTCTGAGCAGATGGCCCTTCATTAAAGGGTCCATGGTCCCCTTAATGAAGTAAACCTCAGATCTTCCTCACAATCTGAGATGTCCCCTTCTTCTGGGACCTTGTTTTTATAGGGCTTGATACCCAAATATGCAAAAGAGGCATGGTAAAATACAGAATCTCATTGATTGATCAGCCTTGCTCTTAAGGGCCAAAAACGATATATCAGTGGGAAGGGGGAGGGGGTCACAGGTTGAGTGAAGCATGGGGCATCTCCACTGACTAAGTGGTCAGAAGACAGTCATAAGATAATCACCTGTTCATGTTGGACAAGAGAGAAAAGTCCAGAGGTACAAAAATAAATTGGGGGACTTTCCGAAACATCAAGGCATCCCACCCATGCTGGATTTGGACACGAAATTTGAGTAAAACAAAATGGAGATATGTCTGTCAGAATTCTTGTGGTTGTGCGAGTGAGTTTTATAACTGGTAGACAAGTAGTGAACATTATTACATTAAAGTTTGAGGCCTACTATAAGAATCTATCTATCCTTATACGATTTATGAGGGGCAGCTAGGTGGCACAGTGAATAGAGTACCGGCGCTGGAGTCAGGAGGATATGAATTCAAATCTGGCCTCAGACACATAACACTCACTAGCTGTGTGACTCTGGGCAAGTCACTTAACCCCAATTGCCCTCATCAAAAAAAAAGAAAAGAAAAGAAAAGAAAAGAAAAGAAAAGAAAAGAAAAGAAAAGGACTAACAACCTCTATGATTTATGTAAAATATCAAACTGATTGATACTGATTGGAATAGAGTAGGGGTCTAAATGCATTATTTCTCACAAGGGCCAGGTGAAGATGCTATAACTTCAGGCCCAGCTCTTGGATCCTTGTGATGCTGGGCCCTAGACTCGGGACCTCTGTCTGACTGAAGTTCTTGACAACCAGCACTCTTTGGTTGGGTATCCTGTGGCTGGAAGGGACCTCAGCTGCTTCTCACTGTAGCCACTTTGTTATTGACAGAACAGGAGGAAACTGAACAGGAGGCACCAATCAAGAGAACCCAGAAGCTGCCGCGCTACCAAGGCTTGCTTTAAGCCTTTCTGTTCTGTTGTTTCCGGGACCTGAGAGGTGCATACAGTCATCCTGGGTCCATTGGTCTCCTCCATCCTAGGTCTCCTCTATAGACAGAGCCAATAGGGCTTCTGTTAGACTACCAGGGGAACCTGTGGCCTCGAGGCCACTATGGATTCAACTGAAGGGCTGCACTTGAGGACCTAGAGGGCCACATGTGGCCTTGAGGCCACAGGTTTCCCACCTCTGGACTATACTGTTATAACACACACCTAGGCGAGCTACTGGGTCAGAAGTCAGGAAGACCTGAGTTCAAATCCAGCCTCAGACACTTACTAGCTGTGTGACCCTGCACAGGTCACTTTACCTCTGTCTGCTTCTGTTTCCTTATCTGTAAAATGGGGTTAATAATAGCACCTACTTCCCAAAATGATTATGAGGATCAAATGAAATAATATTTGTAAAGTGCTTAGCATAGTACCTGGCATGTAGTAGGTGCCTAATACGTGCTAGCTATTCTTGTTATTAATAGATGTCTATTGAACCGAAAAAGAATACCAATGTGCAGAAAGAAAAAGGCAAAGAGATAGTGAGGGTAAGGAAGGAAAAATAAGGAAGAAGAAAGAAAAGGTAGTATGGAGAAAAGAGAAGGTAGGGAAAGTAGTGGAAGGGAAAGAAGGAAAAATAAGGAAGAAGAAAGAAAAGATAGTATGGAGAAAAGAGAAGGTAGGGAAAGTAGTGGAAGGGAAAGGAAGGAAAAATAAGGAAGAAGAAAGAAAAGATAGTATGGAGAAAAGAGAAGGTAGGGAAAGTAGTGGAAGAGAAAGGAAGGTCCTGGAATGGTCTTGGGTGATGACTCAAGAAAAGGACATGAAGAGAAGGAAGCAGAACAGTCAAGAGACCTGCTCTGAATTCCCCCTTCATGCAGGGCTCGATGCTGGATATGCTGGACAGTGAGTATGTCCCTCTCTGAATAGGTTTATAGATTTAGATCTAGAAAAGATGGGCCTTAGAGGCCATTGGGCACAGCTCTCTGTTGTGAGGAACACAACACGTGAGGAAACTGAGGCTGAGAGTAAAATGACTAGCCCTGAGTCACACAAGTATAATTGTCTGAGGTAGGATTTGAACTCCACTCTTCTTAACTTCAAGGTCATCACTGTATTCATTGCACCACCCAGCTGCCAAAGTCAATTCATTATCAGTATAGTCAATTGCTCAGATGTTCCTTCCATCTCCATCCTGCCTTCACCTAGGAGTTATATGCCATGAGGAAATGCATGCATGGCTTCTTTTAGAGCTCTTCTCCACTGAAGGTATGGTTAGACCCTTTGCTACCAAGTTACCACCAGCTCCCAGTTCACCTTTGACTGTCAAGATTGTGAGCCTTGGCATAAGTATGGCTAGGATAACTTGATTTGAATAATCATACACATTTGTCTCAGAGAGATTCTTTAGGATTTAAAAGATATAATTAGGAAAAAATTAGAGTGCTTCTAAACAAACAAGAAGTAGCTGCTCCAGCAGAAAACACTTCTCCCTGTCTTGAGAGAGAAAAGCTATTAAAATGTAAAGTCACTCTACTGAAGCCTGGTATTGGTGGCTGGGATGTTCTTGGAGACAGAGAATGGCGGCACACTCTCAGAAACCTTTTGTGAGGAAGAGTTCAGCAAAAGAATTACAAAAGGGGGGTAAAAGACTCATGAGATACCTCTTGTTACATACTACAGAGTGGCACAGTGGAAAGCATGCTGGGTTTGGAACCACAGTCCCATATTCTGTGCATTCGAATCCAGTCCCTGCTAATGCTCACCTTTATAACCACGGGCAGTTCACTTGACGTCAAAGGCCAAAGTTTTCATGTGAAAAATGAAAAGAGTTGGTCTAGGTGGCCTCCTAAGATCCCTTTCCAGCTCTAAGTCTGTGTTCCTGTGATGAAGGGAGAACAGTGACTCCTCAGAGGTCCTCCTTCTTTGCACTCAGTGAATAGGAAACCAAGAAAGGTTTATTACAGCATCTTTTCCCCTCTCACGGATAGGCTTGCTTTGCCTATTGGGAGCTGCATGGAGCTATAGGAGTCAGGATGGAGGGATCTGGGATGCCACCTTCTGGAAGCTGGGGAGAGTAAGATGAGGAGCCATAAGATGCCCAGTGCCCCTAGAGCAGCTGGCTGAGGAACTCCAGAAAGCAATTCCCACTGGGAGCCTTGACTACTCCTTCCATTCTCCCTCCGTCCTCTCCCTCTCTTTCTCTCCTCCTCCTTTCCCCCCCATGTGTCTCTCTCTGCTTCCCTCCTCTCTTTCCCTCTCCCCCTCTCTCCCTCCTTCCATTCTCTCTCTCTGTGTGTCCCTCCTCTCTTTCCCCTCCTCTCTCTCTCTCTCTCCCTCCCTCTCTCCCTCTGTTTCTCTGTTTCTCTCTCTCTCTCTCTCTCTCTCTCTCTCTCTCTCTCTCTCTCTCTCTCTCTCTCTCTCTCTCTCCTCTTCTTCCTGCTCTGTGTTTTAACCTTTTCATTTCTTTTTGACTTTCTGCCAGTCTAGCTGACCAATCTCAAAACATGTGGTCACTGAGCTATACTGGAAGTGTCTGCTAATG